GTGTCCTGAGCAATATAAGTTCTACAGGTAATAAAGTTTCTTTCACCTCGATTTTGCTTATTATACATTTTTCTCAATTTTGGAATATTCTTAATAAGTGCTCATTTAATTTGTCTAATTGAATACATAATCCCTTGCAAGTATTTTTTTCTCAAAAATATGTTTTTTATACATAGTGATTCAAAAAGGTGTTGGCAAACTTAAAATAACACTAAAATGAGGCTATTTATTCATTTCCAGGACGACTTATAATTGTTCATGCGGGTTCGCAAGATGGTTTTGTTCCTGGAGCCTGTCTCATTTTCAAGGCTGGCTGTGCCACTGGTGATTATCACGGTCAAATGAACCAAGAAAATTTCACGAAGTGGCTTACTGAAAAACTATTTCCTAACATTCCTCCTAATAGTATTATAATAATGGATAATGCACCTTACCATTCAGCTTTGGAAGACAAGCCTCCAACTAGATCTTCTCTAAAAAGAGACATCATCACGTGGTTGAGCAAAAAAGGTATAGAGCATGATCCTAATGCTAAAAAAATGGAGCTTTATGAAATAGCTTGTCTACATAGGCCACCATCTGATGAGAAAAATTATAAGATAGATAATTTAATAAGAAGTTTCGGACACACCCCACTTCGAACGCCACCCTATATGTGTCAGTTTAATCCCATAGAGATGATTTGGGCACAAGTAAAATTTTTCATTAGAAGCCATAATACAAGCGGCGAATTTACTATAAAAAAACTAGATGAAATTTCTAATAAGGCCATCGCTTCAGTAAGTGCCAGTGACTGGCAAAAGGTTATTGGACATGTTATAAAAATTGAAGATGAATATTGGGAAAAAGACAGTCTCATTCAAGAAATACAGGAAGAAATAATAATCAACATAGGAGGTGAAAGTGATAGCAATGACAGTTCCTCAGACAGTGATCATGACTCTAATCAGGATTGAAACTATACTAGATTGGCTACCTTTTAGAATTTTTAGATATTCATTTATTATACTATTGGTTTGTGGCTTTTAGTATCTCAGTAGAAAGTCTAATTCTATGTGTTGTTTATGGGTTATTTCATCAAGAAATTACTTTTTGTTTTCCTATATTTTTCTATTCAGTCAGATATTTTTGACTTGTTGTATTCTATTTTAGAAGAATGCATAATTTGTTTTGCTGTTCAATCATAATGCGTACATAGGAATATTACTTGTTGCCTAAAAAATATATTTATTTTGTTCTCAATATTCAGTGTTTGTGTATATTTATTTCTTATAATGTATGTTTGGTATCACGTCATTATGAATCGCAAAAAAATATTAATACTACCAGTTGTAATAAAATATAAATTCAATTAATAATTCAAGTCTCTCCGATCTCCGCCTATGACTCCATATAAAATCGTCTAATGGTAAGGTTTTTTCATCGCATTTCCCCCTTTCGTCCCTAGCAATCTTTGGCTGGTCGATCAATATTGTAACGCCACTCCAACATAACACAAAAAAATGAATTGAAGATGCGCTTAAAAGAACCTGCTTTCAACGGGATGGGTGTTCGGCTCACAATACCATTCAAGTCAGGAACTTCTTAAGAAAGCAGTTCGATGAAAGAATAATTTCATTAAACGGTTCAATATCTTGGCCTCCTTTCACCCTTGGATTTCTACCTCTGGGGTCACACAAAGAATGAGGTATCTATATGAATTTGATCCTCCCGCGACCATAGAATTCTTGAGACAAAGAATTTTGAGCACAGTTAGACACATTAACAGAAATACACTCGCTAAGGTTGTTCGAAAAACAGTCACCAATTATCAAAAATGTCTGGATGCAAATGGACGTTATTTTGCAAATTGGTAAATTACGAACCCCTTCCCACTTCAGTTGGCCCAATTATTGAAATCTTAATCTAATCTAATATATAGTAGAAAACACCAAGTTTATCACTCCCTAATCAAATTTGTAGCATAAAAATAACACATGTTGCAATTACAGAATATCAACCTATTTTCATTTCAATGCAAAATAGATATATAACGCATAGGTGGCTGTGAAAAATAAAAGCCATGACAATTGTTTTTATTAATCACAGCTGTCAGAATACGTTTAAAATAGTTTTGGGTAGTTAAAGTTTTCAAAATGGGTAGAGGAAAGGTTATTAGTGAGAAAATTCAGAACTCAGAAATCGCAACTTTGTTAGACTTATCGCGGTACAGTGTAAGAAATATTGTTAGAAGATATAACGTAACGGGTTCAGTTAATATTAAGCCACGATATGTGAAAAAAGTAATATCACAAATGCCGACTGAAGAGCATTAAGAAGAATAATCGTGAAAAACAGAGGCGTGGCAATTATTTACAATTAAGTGCTCTGTGGAGTGACGCTGTTGGAAGGAGAATTTCGAGGTCCACAACTCATAGAGAGGTCCACAGACTGGGATTTAGCACTTGCAAGGTAAGTTTTCTTATAAAAAAAATGAAGGAAAAACCCTAAAGCTGCACAACTTGTTTATAAGACAAATAAAAGCCACTATCAACTCCACTGAAAAAGAAAAATCGGCTTAGATGGGCTAAATAACATAGACAATGGACACCTCAACAATGGTGTGCAATACAATGGAGTGATGAGGCCCGATTCGAAGTTTGTGTTGGTGACAATCGCAGTAGAGTTATTCGCAAAAAAAATGAAGCATTCCATGTTGACTGTCTGAAGAGAAAAGTGAAATTTTCAGCATCCATTATGGACTGGGGCAGTATGTCATCAAAAGGAGTAGGAAAACTTCATTTTACTGATGGAAATGTGGATAAATACAAATATTTTGCAATTTTAGAAGAATCGCTTTTACCAGTGATGGAAGAATGTTTGACATCCGGCCAAGATTTTGTGTTTCAGCAAGATGGTGCAGCGTGCCATACCTCAAAAAAGGCTATAAAATGGATGGAAGAAAATAATGTACCACTTTTGAAATGGGTTTCTAGCAGTCCAGATCTATCACCTATTGAAACTTTGTGGCACGAGATGAAAAAGGTTCTACGACAACATCCTGCTAGTACAATCACCGAACTGAGACAAAAGCTTCAAGAAATATGGGATTGTTTTACACCAGATTTTTGCCAAAACTTGGTTAACACTATGCCCAAAGAATTTCAGCCGTAATAAAAAATAAAGGTGTTGTTACCCAATGGTAATCTTTCAATTGTTGCTTTGTTAACTTCGCGCATTTATTCGCACATTGTTTATTTGTTCAGATGTTCTATTAGTTATAGGTCTAAGTGATTTCAAATATGTATTTTTTACGACTAGGGTGTAGCTAAAATGTTTTTGAGAAAATAAATTGTTTTAGAAGTAAATAGTTTCGTCATGTTTAGTTTATAAAGGCAAATTTTGGTACAAATCTTGAAGTGGGCCAACAGAAGTGGGAAGGGGCTCGTAATACCCACTTACATGATTAGATTTTATATTACGTTTAATGAATTAAGATTCATGTTGAAAATATGCGTTCGTTTATCCTCTACGCCCAAATAATGGTTTTATTTTGAGCGTACACATTTTGGAATTGTGTATATACGAATGTGAATATATGTCCAGTCTCTCAGCATCACGTATGAACCACAATTCAGAAAGACGAAACATTTTGTACACATCCCAACGTTTCCTACATGATAGCAAGCAAAGGGAATTCTAAATAACCAATAATATCCTATGAGGGATAAAAAAACACGATAGACCCGCCTACAAGCCATACACCTAGCAGCGCGTCCGTAGAATATTCTGCAGACGATAATCGTATTGGTTGACCAATCAGCGTCAAACATTTTTTGTGGGACTATTTCTGTTTACTGGTAAGAGCCTTGAAACGAGTTTTTTTTTGTTTTGCGAGAGAAGTGTGCACAAATAAATTTCTTCGATTAGTAATGGTAGAGTTAGTACCTATGATTCTCGTTTATTTGCATTTTGCAGCTATATTTTGCATACAATAATCGTATTGGTTACAAATCAGTCTTTCTGTGACCAATTATTTCTGCCGATAAAAGCACTGGAAAAAATTCAATTGAACTCGTCGATTTTTATTTCGCGTTAGAAATATTTTGCACCTATTTAGTGGTGCAAAAAACACGATTTTATCTTTAGAAAAAATCTAAAAATATGATTTTTTCGATTAAGTCGATTTCTTTCTTTTTTTCTTATATCTGCTTGATCATTAAAAAAATCGATACTTTAAGAATACTTCACAACAATTTGACAACATTAAACATCTGGACAATAAATATAAAGTATTTGTGTTGTCAAATTAACCGTTTTGGATTCTGGCAAAAAACAAATTCCGCCATTTTCGGTTTTTCGCTGATATTTTTAAAACCAATTGCACTAAGTTTCCTCTAAAACTTTCCCCATTTAACCTTTGCTGTATGTATAACAGGAGCCGAGATCCCTGTACAGAAAAGCGAATCTGGGACACACTGTATATGCTATAATAATAATAACAAACGACTTTTATTTCAGGCAAAGTTTAGCTCGAAAATTATTAGCTTTAGACTCTTGAAACAAGTAAACCTTTTTTATTGTGAAAATACGAGAAAATAAGTCTTTTCGTCAGTTGTTGTATACAGGGTAGCACAAAACATGATAAGTTATTTACTGAAATAGTGCTGTAAGTGGCGCCCTCTAGAACTTTGGCCATAAAAAATAACGGATTCTTGTTTCTCATACTAGAGTTTATGCCAAAATCTGAAATACTTCTCAAGCAATAAGGAAAAATAGAGAATAAAATAGTAACTTTGAGACCCTGTATCTCGCAAACTATCAACTTTTGGACTAAGGTATGTTCAGGTCAATTCACATATTTTGGTCTGTAGTATCTCCAGGAGCGAGATTTCCCAACCTTTCGCAGACATCCTAGTTCAAGTATTTATTATTTAGTATTGTATTCATTGCCTATATTGGTATATTTTTCATGATCTATACAATCGGCCCATCGGTGATTAAGGATATCACGCGTGGACGTTAATTTCCTGTTCAATCTAGATAGCTGTTTCTCATAAACAGCCAAATGTGGTACAAACCTGAGGAGGAGTTTCGGTTCTGGGTGTTCACTAGGGACATGCTTTTGGTTTTGCCGCGGTTGCGTTTCACAGAGAAAAAGTCGCTTTCTTCGCTGGTGCTCGTTCGGTCTCTTCTGTATTTCGTGGCATCGCTGCTTTTCCTTCTGTAAATCAAACCCTGTATTAGTATCTAGCAAGACCCAGACACTTTTTCCGTGTGTATACCGGGTGCGCCATCTTTTATGTCGGTGTTGAAACATCGAATGACTTTGATCTTTACCAGCCGAGTGATTTGGTTATACGTGTTTCTGAATCGTCAATTTACTACAATTTTAGTCATGAATCGCTTTACACAGAAACAATTTTGGAAAAGAGGACCGTTCGATTCGATACAAAAAAATTTAAAAATACGAAATAATCGTGATATATATGAGTCGCTAATGCAGTTAACCTAATTAAAAGTATTTAGTTTACGTTTTTTGGTGTCAGCACACTGTGTTCCAACAGGCCCAGCTTGGAAATGTGGAGATACCTGTTTGTTTTTAATACATTTACTTTAAGTTTTACTGTTATTTTTCAATTTTACATAATCATTTAAAATTATGTTTGATAAAATAGACAAAAGCTTAGATAAAATATCTGCATAATTGCGGCCACAGATGCAAGTTAAAGAAAATTCATTGTATATAAAGTCAGACTGAATGCTGAGCAAGGTTAACTGACACAAAATAAATTTTTGATTATTGCTTTTCAAGAAGAAAATTTCCAATCTATCTACATTAATAATAGATTCAAAAATGGCATACATATGGTAGAATATGATTGGTACATAACTGATTGGAATTGACAGTCCTTCTCTTTGCAAATGATCAAAATAACCATTTGTTGTTAATGAACCTTTTTCTTTAACTACACTGATCAACAGCCAAAAAATATCCTAAATAAAATCAACAAAATATTACTATTTTTAATGTGCTAAAACCGGAATGAAACTTATTTTTTCAATATTAGTTCAAGTTTTAGAGATACGGTAATTATATGTGTTCCTGCTGTGACAGTGTTAATATACTGTAATTCACAAGAATGCACGTGCTACATTTTTATATTCGGCAAGAAAAGATGATGTAATCGGCATGATTGTGTTACGTTATACATACGTGTACATTATATTGTTTTATATTAGCCATTTTTTCCTCAGTTGGCTGACAGCGTTCATGCAAGATGTCTCGAAAGTGTGTAAACAATCCAGATCAGTTTTGTTACGTGTGTGGTGATGTGACTTTTGCGTCTCAGAGACGGTCTATTACTCCACTAATAACAAAGGCATATCAGCTTTATTTCGGTTGTAAACTAGGTGATCAAGACAAACAGTGGGCTCCCCACATCTGCTGTAATACATGTGCTTCAAGTCTGAGGAGCTGGTTAAATGGAAAAAAACGGTCTATGCGCTTTGCTGTCCCAATGGTTTGGAGAGAGCCTACAAATCATATTAGTGATTGTTACTTTTGCATGGTACCTTGTGTTGGACAAGCCACAGGTATGTCCAAGAAAAAAAAATCGGTTATTAACTACCCAAACATACCATCTGCGATGAGACCTGTGCCTCATAGTGACGAAAATACTTTTCCAAAACCCCCAGAATCCTACACTTGCGAATCAGAAAACGAATCAGATCATGGCGATCGAGTGATTCGTCAGGAAGAAGATATGCCATCAACGTCAAGAGATCCTGATTTTATACTGAGCACGTCATGCCACCAACCGCACAAAATAACACAGTTAGAATTAAATGATCTTGTAAGAGATTTAGAACTTCAAAATGTAAGGCAGAGTTACTTGGATCAAGACTGCAGCAGTGGAACTTGTTAGAAGACGATGTTTCGGTATGTGTTTATCGTAAACGCCACAAAGACTTAGAACCATTTTTCAATATGGAGAATAACTTGGTTTTCTGCAGTAACATTAAGGGCTTACTGGCGGCTTTAAATATAAACTATAACCCAGAAGAATGAAGATTGTTTATAAACAGTTCAACATTGAGTTTAAAGGCAGTGTTATTGCATATTGGAAATATTTTACCATCTCTTCCTGTAGGGTATGCAGTTCACATGAAAGAATCATACCTATGACAATATGAAGTACCTATTGACATGCATAAAATACGATGAGCACCAATGGCATATTTGTGGTGATTTGAAAGTTGTTGCTATTTTACTTGGGCTGCAGCTAGGCTACACAAAGTTTTGCTGTTTTTTGTGTGAATGGGACAGTCGGGCAAAGGCACTTCATTACACCAGACAAAACTGGCCTGTTCGTCAATTCCTAGAGCCAGGTCAAAAAAATGTACAGCATATGCCATTAATAGAAAAAATTTGTATTACCACCACTGCATATCAAGTTGGGCCTAATGAAAAACTTTGTCAAGGCATTAGATAGACATGGGTCAGCTTTTCAATACCTGCGTCAGAAATTTCCAAGACTGAGGCAAAGGTTAAAGAAGGTATTTTTGTTGGGCCACAGATTCGAAATATTTTGAAAGATACACAGTTTGAAAACACTTTAACAGGTATTGAAAAAACTGCTTGGAATGATTTCCGTCTGGTGGTCACTAATTTCTTGGGAAATAGAAAAGCTGACAACTATAAAACCCTTGTCAAAAATATGCTGTCATCGTATCAAAAGATGGGCTGTAATATGTCTCTTAAGATACATTTCCTACACTCACACCTGGACTTTTTTCCTGACAATTGCGGAGCCGTAAATGATGAGCACGGCGAACGTTTTCATCAGGATATTTCAACAATGGAAAAAAGGTACCAGGGAAAGTGGAATCTTTCCATGCTTGCAGACTACTGTTGGACTCTTGGTAGAGATGCTCCAGAAACGATCCATAAAAGAACAGCAGAAAGACAGCGCATATAGTGATTCTTATAAGTATATGAATCTTGTTACTTTTTTTAATATATCCTTAAAAATAAAAAGTTTTTTTTCTAAACCGCAACTAATTTTTTTATTTCATTGTCATTTTTGGATTCAGCGCCCCAAAATTAACAAAGAAGTGCACTTTTCCCACAAGATACCTACAATTAAAAAACTAAAATTTGTTGTCCAGTGCTATTAGCGATTTGCATATCTCGCAGTTTAGGTTTTTAGAGATAGTGTGTGAAGCATATCCAGATATATAAGTCTTTGTACTATCCTCTATGTCACAATTGGCTAAGTAATGTGTCTCAAATACTTCATTGAATATATCCAAAACTTCAGGATTTTGTTTGGTATCCAATTTTCTTGAGTTTCTAAGCAGTTTTGGAACCTTGTTTTAATTTCTGCTAAAGAAAATGACGATTTCTTTTCATTGAAAATATTCTTCAGCCGTATTTTCTTTTCAGCATTAAAATTTCATCATATGACACATTGTAATTGCAGCCACATAAAAGTCTATAACTGCCAAATCGTTTTTCTAAATTATCAGTGGTGAATTTTCCAGGCAATACATACTCAATGTCAAATTGATTAAATGAATATTCAATTAAATTAAGTAGAGTCAGCGTGCTTTGATATAGAGCTGTATACGTTTCTGGTATCAGGTATCCATTATTATTCTCTAGATTATGCCATTTTTCTAACCATATCAGGAATTAAAAATTGTACTCTATAATCATATTTATTGGTAATAGGCTTACAAAATTCGTTTCGCTTCAATTCTCCTTTTATTACACTTGTATTACTGACAATATCCCACCAATTCCTGATTATTTCCAAAAAGTGTGCAGCATCATTAAACTTTAATTCTTTCATAGCAGCTATTGTTGAGTGATGGAATAAATTATCTACAAAATTTACATTTTGCCTTTCAAATGAATTCGGATGCAATGTTTTATAATTTAATTTATATGCTTTCTTAACTACAGCTTCTTTTTCCAATTGATATACAGCACGAATGTTTTCAAATTTAGCATACTGAATAATATCATTATTGTCAAAATTAGGATATACAAAAGTTTTGTCTTGGTTTTTTAAATTAATCCAATTATTTCGGATACTCTTGAAAATATGCACATCATAAGTTAAATATATGTTCTTATCAGGATTATGTGGATTTGGAATAGAATAATTTCCTGAACATTGCTCTATTAATTCGGTGATTATCAGTAACAACACAAATAACTTCAAATCCACATTTTTGAACTAAATTTATCTTTGATCTTATCCATATCATCGAAATTCTGGATAGCTTTTTCATGTTTCTCAATTAATTTTTGTTTTCTTTGCATTGGGTCAGTTCTTTTGGCTGCTTCAGTTTTTGAAAGATATAATGGCAAGTTTGGGAAAATGGAGGAACAGCATTTTCTTTCAATTTTGGATATTTCAAAGGTATATTATTTTGGACTGTTCCATCCGCCAAAACTATATTTTCTGTCCTGATGATATCCGATTCTCTAAAATGACGACTGCACACAGCTGAATATTTTGAAGGTGTCCAATTTTTTCTGGGAATTGCCATAAGCCATTTGTTTTTCAGACTTTCGGTACTTGGGAAGCGAAAAGTTGAAACATAGCTTTCTGTTTTCAAAGCAGAATTATAGTTTGCATTGCATAAAGGAACACAACAACAACGAGGCATATTGTCTGCGTCAAATACTTGATAAATGAAAAAAGAAAAATACAACCTGAATTTGCACGTTTTCAATAGTTGAAATCGTTAGCGTCCTGAGGCGCGAACAGCCACAGTCACACTTCTTAGTTTATTTTTAAAGCACAGAAGCACTACAACTGGAGTCTATTTCTCATATATTATAGTCACCGATCACTTTGAACACATACACACACTTTGAAGCTTAGAAAATAAGCTTATCTCTTAATTACAGCCTCTGGGAGCCCAAATCACAAATTGAAAAGGTTATGTTTTCTCAGCGTTTTGAGCACGAGTTACGTCGATGCAGCAAGCAGCGGCGGGAGTAACACCTACGTTGCCAGATTTCTTTGTTCACGGCTCGTAGCTGACGTCGGCTGTGGAATTGGTTGAAGCGGTCAGAGACAGCGTTGCCCAGAACCCAAAAGTGTCGTATCGTCACCGCTCTCAGCATTGTGGCATCAGTGGAACCACGTTGCCGCGCATTTTGAAGGATGATTTGCATTTGTTTCATTATAAGGTGAAGTTAACACAAAAAATATTGCCAACTGACCGTCCACGTCGCTTGGAATACGCCCAAACAGTCGCTAGCATGGTTGATGCTGAACTTGATTTTTGGAAGCAAATTGTGAGGCCCATTTCACGCTCTCTGGCGGCGTTAATAAGCAAAACTGCCGCGTTTGGGGGACGTAAAATCCACATGAGATCCACGAAATGCCGTTGCATCACCGGAAAGGGACTGTTTGGGCCGGCGTTTGCGGCAAAACCATCATTGGGCCATTTTTCTTCAACGAAAACGAAACAGCTATTGCAACGCTTAGGCGGCTGCCGCTTTGCCGCGCTGCATCTTTGTTGTGCCGGGGCGTAGATGGACTAGGAATAGAATATAAGTAAACCAAGTCGGTTCCTACCTGTAATTATTTTTCTTGCCCGAACTAACTTCCGATTTCGGTTTGAACTGCCTCGTATCGTACGAGGACGTCGAAATTGAACTTTCCGGCAATTTAGCATCCACGGGAGTAGGCAACTCCCTGCTCCTTCGTCCTTGACTCTGTCTTGTCCTCTTTCCCAGCTTCCCTTTGATGTTCCTCTGGAACACATGCCTGAGCCTCCGGAACTTTTCACCTACCAGAACACGATGATTTTTCTTCGAAGTTGCCATGCTGTTCCTTCGTACCATTCTCTTTTTTTGCCTCTTCATTATGTTCTTGGAGTGTTGGTACAGCTCGTCTTTAGTGAGAGTGAGCGAGAGTTTCAGGAGGAACTCCTTATAGATAGGCTTGAGATCATTGAAAGACATTCCTTCCGGGTCGATGATAACGCTGAGAATATCGTCGAGAGAATGTAGGCCTTCTTGAAGAGATAGTTCGTTGAAAATCTCTTTGAAGCCTAGAGGGGAACCGCCGCTAGCCTGCTCGTTGCCCCTGGGTAAGAGAATAATAGTTATTTGGGTATACAAGTACAAGCTTATGAATGAATGAATAAAGAAATCAGAACTTGTTACCAAATAATAGTACAGCTCTGATATTGTTTGTGACTATTCCACTTTTATGGAAGAATGAAGCGGGGAATACTTGTTTTCTTATCACTTTCTCTCTTAAAAAAATTTTTGGAAGAGAAGAAGTCATAAGAATAAAGTTATAATCATCCGATTCATTCTTGCACAAAAGTTACGATTGAAGAAAAAATGTACAATACAATGCACAAAAATGCATTTTTTGACAAACAAGTTGATAAAATTTTTTAGTCATCTCTAAACACACCATGAAATGATCAGATGAAAAGGATTTATTATGTATTTATCGAAGAAAGAGACTAAACAAAAACAGTGATCATCGCGTCATTAGTACACTGATATATTTCAAGAGACAGGGGTCATAACTGTTGCTGGGCAGAAGAGGTCGCGCCCTTATTCCTCTCCAGGCTCCCGTGCGCATTTTAACACTATGGTATAGGATTCGGCACCACTCTTAATTTTATTGGTCAATTTCAATTTATTAAACCAATGACAAGCTGGGTGCCGAAATCACTACCGGAATGTTAAACAGTGCTGAAAACAGTGTCAGAATGTTATCAATAAACTGCTTTTACTAATATATGTATATACATATATATAAATATAACTTGAGACGTGGTCATTGTCGTCTAGACCAGTTAGGTGAAAAATTGAAGCTTCAGCCTTTTGTTGGGTACTTCGACAAAATTTAAGCATGGAGGACTCTTTATACTTTTTTTATTCTCTCTAGCTTTCAATGGTCTTTGCCATCATCATCAGGAGAGTAGTATGTGAGGATGTTGTTAATTCTTGTTTACGTTAAGGATGAGGGAAACACCCAGTAACATGGTGAAAGCTGGATAAATGTAACAATGGTCAAAATTATATAAAATACACACAGCTGTATGATAAGAACAAGTTAAAAACAGATTCAAAAATTTTTTAGAAATTGAAAGTTAAACATTACATCGTGAAGCCACTTGCCCACCATTTTGTGCAATCATCAAGTGGCTTCACGATGTAATGTTTAACTTTCAATTTCAAAAAAAATTTTTATCTGTTTTTAACTTGTTCTTGTCATACAGTTGTGTGTATTTTATATAATTTTGATCATTGTACCATTTATCCAGCTTTCACCATGTTACTGGGTGTTTCCCTCATCCTTAACGTAAACAACAATTAGCAACATCCTCACATACTACTCTCCTGATGATGATTGCAAAGACCATTGAAAGCTAGAGAGAATAAAAAAAGTATAAAGAGTCCTCCTTGCTTAAATTTTGTCGAAGTACCCAACAAAAGGCGGAAGCTTAAATCATCAAATATCGTAATAGGAAACAACGTGCGTTGATTATTATCTTACGTATTTTTAGCGGAAGGTAAGTAAATTTAAATTTAAATTGATAACATTCTGACCCCATGCTCAGCACTGTTTAACATTCCGGTAGTGATTTCGGCACCCGGCTTGTTATTGGTTGAATAAATTGAAATTGACCAATAAAATTAAGGTTGGTGCCGAATCCTATACCATAGTGTTAAAATGCCTCCCGTGCGAAGCCGCGAACTACCCGCGTCCCATGAGTGTGGATCCCAGTGTTGCCATACGTAGCAGAATTCCGCTATTTGTAGCGGATTATTTTGAGAAGAGCGGCGTAGAGGCGGTAGAGCAAATTAGCACAAAATGAAGCGGAATTTATTACATACAAAACTATCATATTCATTTCACTGTTTTAACGTTAATAACGTTCTAAATCCTAAATAGGCAGTGGCTAGAGTCTGAATTATTATCACATTAATAATAAAATTGGTGCATTGGGTGCCGCTTGAGCCATCTAGGAACAGAGAAGAGAATTATTCCACTTGCCTTTTTTTCAATAACAGATGGCGTACGTACTGCTTTCAATACTAATCGTTTCTAACAGGTCTCAGCAGGCAGACATAATATTAGGTTTCTCGCTTTGTATTGTATTTTTCAGCTCTGGGTATATACTGTTTAGTTTCGTTTATATTAGTGTTCTTATTTTTGTGTTGATCATTTTATTGATATATCATTTGCTGCAGATTTTAATATTGAATCTACTGGTAAGTAACAAAACTGCTTAAATATCTAACATTTTATAGTTTGATCCCGAAATAAATCGTAGTCGCGAAATTTGTTTTTAACGCTTTTTCTTCTGGAAAATAGGAATAATGGAAAGGCGACAGCAGACCATTAACGATTTTTTTGATAAAAATCCTTCTAAAAAACAAACGGTGAAACCAAACGTGGCCGTACCATCCACTTCGACTGCATCTGGGTTGGACTCGGAGCATCCCGAACCTGAATACAGACAAAATAGAAGAGCGGAATCTAGTGGAATCAGGTCTGAGCCTGATAATTCGACTTGCGAATCTCAGGATAACCAAGAGCCAGAGCACCCTGTTAACAAAAAGACACGAAAACAAATGTTTACTTCATCATGGCTAGAAGATCCGTTATTTAAAGGCTGGTTGGGACCTATTGAAAATAACAAGTTGAAAGCAAAATGTAAAGCTTGTAATCAAATAATGGCTGCTTAAAATTCAGATTTAGTGAATCATTCGAAATCAAAAAGGCATGCCACTAATGTACAAGCAATTTCGAATTTAAGAACGTTAGATAGCACTTTTCAGTCTCGGGAAGCACGTGAGTTGGAAAAACGGCAAATATTTGCTTGCTTAAGATATAGTCTTTTAGTTGTAAGTCATTATATAAGTTTTAGAACTGTTGATCATATAACAGGAGTTAGTCAATTATGTTTTAAAGACCCAGATCTCTCTAGCTCACTTAAATTAAAAAGATCCAAATGCATAAGTATAATTAAAAATGTGCTGGCTCCTGTTATTAAAGACGAAATAATTTCAGAATTGGAAAATAAACCATTTTCTATTTTATTGGATGAGAGTACAGACCTGAGCAATACAAGACTACTATGCATTCTTGTAAGGTATATTCATAAAAATTCAATTAAAACCCATTTATTAGATATAATTAAAATAAACGCAGATGAAGGTACCGCCAAAGGTTTATATTCTCTTTTTAAAAAATGCGTTATATCCAATCAAGTAAAAATTACCAATATTGTTGGATACTGTTCCGACAACGCTAGTGTTATGATGGGCAATAACGAATCTTTCAAAACTTATCTTTTAAAAGATAATCCTAATATAATTGTCAATGGCTGCACTTGCCACTCTGCTCATTTAGTGGCGGTGGCGGCAGCTGAAAAGATTCCAAGCAACGTTGAAGCTCTTTTACAAAACTTATATTCTTACTTCTCAAGAAGCCCAAAAAGGCAGTGTGTTCTTGAAGAATTACAGGAATATTTCAAAAAGTCAAAATTAAAAATTTTATGCCCTAGTAAAATAAGGTGGCTTGCTTTATCCAAATGTGTTGATAGAGTTTTGGATCAGTGGGACATCTTGCTTAGCCTATTTAGATTAGATTCCATTGAAGAAAAAAATCCTGTAGCAAATGTAATACTTAATGAGTTACAGAATCCATTTGTTAAGGCGTATTTAATGTTTTTTAAATTCGTGTTGCCCATTTTTAACCAATTTAATGCTCTCTTTCAATCAGAGAAAGTTATGCTCAATATCATATCAATAGAGAGTGAGCGGTTTGTACGTCATCTATGTACAAACTTTATGCGACCAGAACATTTTAAAACTGAGATCCCCACTGCTTATTACCAATTGAACAAGTGAATGTTGGTCCGCATGCAATGGATGCAATAAAACACTGCAATAACACGGCAATTGAACAATTTAAATAAAAATGTGTCACATTTTACCAAAAATCGGTAGAAGAGTCCCTTAAAAGATTTCCTATCAAAGACAACTTCTTTTCAGAGCTAAAGTTTCTCTCACTGGTTGATGTGATGAACAATCGTCTTCTTATAAGTGATAAGTGACCTTTCATGATGCCGTTTTAAAAAAATTTGCCCTTCATATTGAAACCGAAAAGGCAATTTTGGAACTAAAGAAAATATGTATTTATTTTAGTGATAGTGAGAAAGAGGGAATTTTAAAAACAAAAAGTAATGTCATTGAATTGACCTCAAAAATTTTAATGACGAATATTTATTTCGCAATATATGTAAACTGGCTCTAATCATTTTAACATTGCCTCATGGAAACGCTGATGTTGAGCGAACTTTTTCTTATATGCTTGATTACAAAACAAAAAAAAGAAATAAAATAATACCATCAACTTTGTCTGCACTACTTACAATTAAATTAGACTTGGAATCAAAAAAACAGTGCTGTTTATCCTATAGTTTTAATGAGAATCATTTAAACAAATATAGAAAGAATTTATATAATGTAAATAAGGAAGAACAAGCTGAAGAAGAAGTAATTTCTGATTCTGACTGTGGATAAAATAAGCAAACGTAGGCATTTCCACGTTTCCGCTTATTCTTTGTCTTTCTTTTTTGTTTTTTTTCTATTAAGATTAAGATATTGGTGATAGTTTCTATTTTTTCATTAGTTCCTAATTCTAAACCAAGAGTTTTGTTTTTTTAGTGGTATACTTTTTATGTTTTTACGAAAAATTGCAATTATATTATGTTACTGTTTGTATCTTTAGTAGGGTTTTTAGACAGTGTTTAAAAAAAAGTAAATATGTAAAAAATATATTTGTTGTTTATTTTAGGCCTCCCCCCCCTTAAATTTTTAGACCGTAGCGGCATGTAGCGGAATTTTGCGATACGTGTGACGGATATTTTAAACTTCGCTCTGGCAACACTGTGTGGAGAGGGTATTACACAAAACCAATGACAAACCAGAGGGTGGAGTGGGAGACGATACGACCGTGCATGCAGGTGGCTGGCCGTACAGAACAGAGTTGGAATCAGATTTATACTGGTATTACAGTGTGCTTATTCGATTTGTCAGTTTAATTTCGTAGAACTCAAAATGTCTGATACGGATACAGCTGATGAAGTTGTTGATATAAGCTGCACACCGCCTAAAAAAAGAGCTGAAAGGCTTCATTTTAGCGTTAGCGAAAAACGAATAATTATGAACATTTATAAATACGAAATTCAGGGAAGGAGTGACTCAAGTGTTAAGGATATTGTTTGCAAAGCTGACACCTACATATTTTTCAATACTGAAAACCTGAACATAATTGATGAAATGGCCAAAAAACAAAATAAAACTGTTTTACGACTGCCTCCTTACCATTGTGAGCTCAATCCGATTGGGCTCCTTTGGGCAGACATGAAAAAATATGTTGCATCAGAAAATAAATGTTTTAAATTTTCTGAACTTAAAAATATTTTTCATGATGCTATACAAAGAATAACACCGAATAAGTGGGAAAATGTATCAGCATGAAAAAGAAAAGATCGATCCTAAAATGTGGGAATTAGGTGGTATCATTGATACTCACGTTGCCCCTTCAATCATAAATCTTGATGACAAAGGGAATTCCTCGGCCTCAGATCTAGAATGATTTTCATTTTCAAATATATGTATTTCCGGTTTTAGAGGTGAAATGTCTGTGCAATAAGTTTTTGTATAATATTTAGTATATATTATTATTTATTCAAATCCTTTTTCTTTCAACTCCACCTAACTATTCATTTTTTAGACTAATATTAAAATTAACTGTTTGCACACTGACGTCCCTGTTCAAGCGGTGGTTAGGAATGCTTGTATGCATATGCAATTATCGTTTTAATGTGTCAAGCCATTTTTCAAAAGCCTGCTTTATAAATGCGCCTTACGACACATTTCGAGTATAATTTCTCGATAAAATACTTCTACTAAAAACAACAATAGACCTTTGTTTTCTTTTTGGTCATGACAGTTAAATTAAAAAAAATATATTAATTCCAAGCTTGACGTTTGGACTCTATACATGCCTGCAATAATTTTGCATACTTTTTGATCACAAATCATTTATTCTTAGTACGGCCCTGTAACGTGCTCGGCGTTCTGGAGCGCGATCGCGTGGAGTATACGTGAATATGTTTAGGTTTGGTCTGTTTCTTCGAGGGATACATAATATAATATTGTTTGAAACAGGCAGTTGAAAAAAGGGACGGGCGACCTTTAGATGAAAAAAAATTACCCTCCTGACAACGATCGAATCAATTCAGTGCAATGACGAACTTAAAATTTTCCGCTCTATCCAATTTCCGGTCTCAATTAAAAAATGAAGTTATCCTTGAAATGACCTTGACGGTTAAGCTCTAGGGTAAATTCAAGATGATTCTCAGATTGATTATTAATAACAATAGGCCTTCATTTTACCTGGTGGGGATCAGTTATAGAGCTTATCCCACCACCAACCACCAATTATTTGACGTTTCCTAACTTTTTAAATACCCTGTATATGTTGTGCCTGCAATGAACCTATAGTCAACGCCAAACAAAGTGGCGTGCACGTCATCACGATAAAAATTCCCCGACCTAATGCCTAGGTTTCTATCACAGACAATTGCTCTATTGCAGTTTCATATTAATGTGATATATAAATTGTAAAATGGTCATTACTCTCTTATTATGGTTAATAGTCATATAAACATTGTTATTAAAATATCACATAAGTTGCTTTCTGATAAATTTAGACGCATTATGCGAAATAAAATGTTTTGCAAACGCTTCAATCACTTATCGACATGTAAACGCACTAAACCGATTTCGCAGCGTTGACACATTGTCACCTTGAAACTTATTTAAACTGGGAACTTACATTTGTATTAATTTTGACACTGAATCAATTTGTGGCATTTCAAATCTTTATAAATCCTTTGGCCCCGCATACTGTAAATCAACAACTGTTTGTTTCAAAACAAAATTATTCATTTTACGAGTAGATAAAGGCAATTTTGGTATATAAAGATGCCCAAACAGTTAAATAGTCGGTGTAAGGAACTCGTGGCCTCGTTAATGCACTACTTTGAGCAAGAAAGGGACAACAACGGGCCTTTGTTGCCTTTAAATGCTGTTCAAGAGGTAGGTTACTAATAATTATATGTAATGTATATTAATAATAGTGAAATTTTATTTCATTTTTTGTAGCGTGTTGCTGCTGCTTTAAAAATTAGTTTAAGGACAGTTAGTCGTATTTCCGAGGGTGTGAAAAGTGATGCAAATTTAGAATCGCCCAAGAAAAAGCGTAGTTATATTAAACGTGTAACCAACACAGCGACATTGGATACAAGTGCCATTCGAGAAGTGATCTATAATATGTATCACAAAAGTAAGATCTTATTATAATAACTTATCAGAAATTTGCATTAATTTGTTAACTAAATTATAATGTCATATTACACATGGTTTCAGAAGAACAAGTTACGATACAAACTTTATGGTCTCGATTAAGAGATAGGGCATTATTTGATGGTAGTGCCACGTCTTTAAGGCGGTTGCTTAGAGATCTTGGATTTAAGTGGCTTAAGGACAATCCGCGACGAGGGCTCATGGAACTACCAAGTATAGCTTTGAAAAGGGTGGAATTTCTAAGGCAATACAATCAAGCCAAGGTTGAGGCCTTATACCAGTTTGTCTTCCTCGATGAAACTTGGATATTTCAAAATGGGACCATAGGTCGCTCTTGGCAAAATGGAAACCAAAAAAGCGTGAAAGCTATTAAAACAGATGGTAAAAGGTATGTACTTTTACACAATTTGCACTATAAAATTTAAAACTAATATATTTTAGATACATTATATTACATGCTGGAAATGAAAATGGGTTTATTGAGGGTAGTGAAGCGATATTTTCTTCGAAAACAAAATTGAGCGATTACCATGGAGAGATGAACCAGGACAATTTTTTGAAATGGTTTCAACATCAGTTATTAGAAAAATTGGAGAGTCCATCTATGATTATACTGGATAACGCCCCTTATCACAGCATGATATTGAACAAAGTGCCCAACAATGCATGGACAAAAAAAATATCCAAGACTGGTTGACAAATCAAAACATACCATTTTTAAACACAATGTTTAAAACAGAGCTATTGAGTATTGTTGCTCGGTACATAATGCTTCTTAATTATATATATTTTGGTCGACAGTTTATATTTCTTTTGTTTATTCCTATTCTTAAAATAACTGCTTTTTTAGAAACAAACCACCTAAAATATACGTGATTGATGAATTGGCGGAACAACATGGGCACAAAGTTCTTCGTCTGCCTCCTTACCATTGTATATTTAACCCTATTGAGTTAATTTGGGGTATAGCAAAAGGTTACTATAACAGACATATTGGTAGAGATGGTAACAGTGAAAAAGACTGTTTGGATATGTGGAACGAGGCTCTACAAACGGTTACCCCAGACATGTGGAAAAATAGTGTTCGACATACTGAGCAAGAAATTTTTAAATGGTATGAAAGAGAACGAATTTTTGATCGACCAGACATCGAACCTTTAATAATCAACTTTGAGAGTGATGAAGATTCAGATTCAGACAGCGCTGAAGAAAGAAACTCCGACTAACTTTATTGTACAGAAAAAGCTTACACTAGTAGCTTACCTAATTTTAGAATGCATTTTTCTGTATGAATTCTGTAAAATAAATACCATGCATAAAATTTGGAGGACCCCATTTGGATTTTTATTCAGTACCTTTAAGCTATCAATTAAATATGGTAGTTTCATAGTGTCATCTGATCAATAATTGTCATACTTAATGATTATGCAAGTACAGATCTATAATTTTATTATACTATTATTTTTGTTCTCATTTGAGGTTAATATTGCTTATAAACCTAGATATGTAAATAATAAATTTTATTATTTTACAAAAAGTTTGGCAACAATGTAAATTTTTCAACACACCCACCTTGATGACGTGCACGCCACTTTGTTTGGCGTTGACTATATTTGAGACGATGGACCATTGAGGTGAAAGGTCGTCTTTGAAGTCATAGCCAAGTAAAATTAGACAATGCATTACAGCAATAATTTATTAAAGCAGAATTAATCAATCAACGTACCTAGAACCTTTGTTCTTATACCGTGTGATTCCACCGGCGTTCAGGAAACTTCCAGATCTGGGTATCGTAACTTTCGTTAAAATATCACCAGTGGAATTTTCCTTCTTCCTTATAGTATCCGGTTCGCCTTTCCGCACGTTTTGTACTTTTTTCAATTTTCCTCCTCCTTCGCTCATGATCTGCTTGATTTCAGCAGTCAACTGTTTTTGCTCTTTGCTCATACATGTATACAGTTTATCTATGAAATAATAGCACAGGGTGAATAAAAATAAAATCAATTCATTTGTATAAAATACTGTTTTAACGGTCTTTTTCCTGCAAGAAAACAATCATATAGTCAAGATAGCGACACTGTTGTTCTCTCGTCAGTAGTCATTATATGTCTTAGGGCACTTGTGATAGATATCAGATCGCAGTGCCCAACAGCTTTCACACACTCTTCTAGTCCAGGAATAATTGATAATAGATTTGATTTTTGCTAGCCGGAGCACCAGTTTCTGATCCAGAAACTAAGAAGAAATCATTCCTAATTCAATCGGAGCTCAGAGCTGAAAAACGCTCCAGACAAAGCAATCTGACATCTGTCACATAACTGTCATAATAATTGACCAATTACATCAAATGTCTTGTTATAGAAAGGGGCAACGCCTCTGGCAATCGTTTGTGGATTAAAGCGTACATTCAGTTTCGAATAATTTTTAATCTCTGTTTATTGATCAAAACCATTATTAGCAATGAATAAAAATATTGCGAGGAGCGTTCTTCTATCGTTTCATGCAATTTTCATAAATACAATTTTTGCATTTTCCTCATTGCACAATATGTTGATTAATGATATTATAAATGAGAAACGAAAGGTTGACGTCAAAGGATTACATCTGTCTTGGCAACGAAGATAATATACGAATGCATGAAAAATTAACTCGGTGATTGACGTAATGGCAACGATATAGATAGTTGATGGTAAATACCTTTAAGTGATCCAGTTTGGTTAATTGATTCTGTATACTTTCCATGGAAAAATCGGTCTATGTTACATATACTTTTTCCACTTAAGGTGGAAAAATTCGAAATAATTATTCACAGTGAGCTTACCGGTAAAGGTTTTTGGTTTTATTTCCAATACTTCCTCACTTTGCCTTTCTTGATGTTGGCCTCCCCGATTTTCTTTAATAATATTTTCTCCGTTCTCTATATCAGGAGGCTTGACGGGTTCCTCGTAAGGTAAAATGGCATCGAGATCATTATCTTTAGGCGGAGACGGAGCCTTTGGGGCTCTTCTCTTTTTGGGAGGCTTAGAATTTAGTAGCGGTTTAGTATCCGATAGCTGAAAATATATATAAACAAGAAAATTATATACTGATCTCGTAAGAAAGAGGGAAAACTGCATGGAGTTACCGTTTGCCGAAGCTCAAAACGTTGCACGAAAATTCAAGAGTGATTGAATTGAGAAATACAGACCCCTAAAAGGCGCCACTGGAAATATGTTTTAACATTTTTTAAAACAGCAATTTTGATAACAGCGTGTTGACAAACCCCGGTTATATAAAATTCCAGATTATTTCTCAATAATGTTTAACGTTTATTCACAACTTTTTGGGGCTTGGCTGCAGTGTAAATCGATAGAATAAAACTGCTTGTTTCAAAAATGGTACATTTTATGGAAATCAAACAAAAATATGCTATTTAGGTAGAGGATGGTGAGTCCTTCCAAATACAGGGTGTCCGCAAAGTTGGGGTTTTCCTTTTCAGAAACAACTACCCTTGAAATAACAAAGGTAATGTGTAGTGAAACGAGGGCTACCAAGTAAAAAACAAATAAAGGAAAAACTACTCACTCTCCAGTTGACGAGAAGGGCTAAGTACGTCTCTGCCCGAAATCATACCGCTCCAACAGAAAATGAAATCAGCTGTTGCGCTACCGAGCAGACGCAGAAACCACATTGATTGTCTTACACTTAATGGCACATCTTCTAACAAGGAAGGCAAAATGTTGCGTAAAAAGTCTAGGTATTGCATCCCGTCCAATCGATTTGGGAGAATAAATGGTCCAATGAGCAGACCGCTCACCATGCCAGCCCAAACATTCACCGAAAATGTTTGTTGAACATGTGCCCGACGGACAGCGTGCGGATTTTCTACTGACCAAACATGAGTGTTGCGAAAGTTATTCACCCCATTACGCTTGAACGTAGATTCGTCTGTCACCAATATGCACTTCAAACAGTCCGGATTATTGTCATGTTGATGCAACAACCACTCACAAATCCGCACTCTTGCTGGAAAATCGTCAGGTTGAAGGGCTTGTACACGTTGGACGTGAAACGGATACAGCCCCTCTTCACGCAGCGTTTGTCACACTTTAGTTTTTGATACTTGCACTTCTCTAGCCACGTCTTTAGTGCTTTTTGAGGGATTCTCGTCTACGCGATTACCTCTACACGCGTGACCGTAACCATCGGTTGAAGGTTGCATACTGACCTGACACACTGACCCCGACCCAGTTTTGTCGTCGGGTTGAGCTAGTGTCCTAGTACCAGTCGGGGATGTCGCGGCTACAGGACGGTATTCAGATATTTTTGATGTTGCAGAGCCCTTTATCTCGGTTCCCTTAAGACATTGGTGTATATGGTACTAAGAAAAATTGCTTATGTTTTCAAGATCTACACGTCGTGTAAAGGAAAACCCCAACTTATATTATTTTTGAGTCATTATTATACATCTGGCGATTTGAGTGAATAATTTGTTTTCCATAGACATCATTCAGTGAGCTGTCAACTGGTCTGTAGAGATTTTTCTATTGTGTTCTAAAAATGAGTGACATCAATTTCGAGCAACGGTGTACTATCAGGTTTTGCTTCAGACTTGGGCACAACGGGAACTCTCGCTGAACTTCAGCAGGGCCACAGAGATAGTGTTTTATCAAGAGCTCAAGTGGTTTAAGGCATTTTCAGAAGGAAGAGACTCGATTGAAGATGAACCACGAAGCGGAAGCCTTTCATCTTGAATAACCGATGAAAATATGGACAGAATCATGTGCGGTCAGTTCGTTGGTTGACAGAATGTTAATAAACGAGTTAGCCAGTAAGAACATTCCTGTGACTGCCCAGCCTCCTTATTCGCCAGACTTGAGCCCTTGTGACTTTTTTCTCTCTTCCCGCAGTTAAAAAATCACCTCAAGGGAACTCATGACTTACATCACTTAATTTACAACCGTCATATGTTGGCAAAATTTTAATGAATAACGTAGCGCTCTCCAACAGATATTTAAGATAAATTATTAACAGTAGCGACCTTTAGAGACCTGTATCTCCAGAGCGGTATCGTCTAAGAATACAATCGTCTCTTTAATGTTTGAACAATGCAGAAAAACAAGAAACGCACAAAACTGTTCTTGCGATGTTTTGCTAAAGTAAAGAAACATTTTGTGTCTCCTAAAATCGAAACTGTTTGCCGCAAATTGTCAGCAAGAAAAATAATCCCAGAAAACACCGAAATAACATCTTTTTCAATATCTGAAAGGTTTCTGTTGTTACTTACACTGATCAAGTCATTGTCACTAAGTACAGAAGAAGTAGAACTTTTCTTCTTTCTTGGAGGTCTAACCGGCACCGAGTTGCTTTGCTCGTTGTAAGTAGTACTCGAAGTGACGGACATACAAGTAGTGACGCCATTTTTATTTTTTGGCCTCTTCTCTTTCGCTTTCATGTGAGCCACGAGTGCTTTGTACAGAGTGGCTGCTATCACTATGGCATCTTCGGAAGTTTGACATACAAACCTATGAAATGAATGCTATGAAAATTTCTTTTGTATAAAGGCTATTCCTTAAATGATTATTATGTGTATTGAAAGGTGACACTATGTCGGTCTTTGATCTTATATATGTTTTTAAGTTGTATGCTGTAACTCAAAGGAAACGTGAGAAAATAGGCTAATTTTTATGAAACGTGAAAATATACTAAGTGACATATAAATCCGAACACCCAGTTTAAATGGTTTTATTTTAATAAAAGTTGGTGAATGTATTTATCTTACTGTAAATAACAAGTGAACAAATTTTCAGCCTTATCAGTTCGACATTCCGGTTTTTATACTGCTTTTTTTTAATTCACTAACGCTCTAAAAATGAATATTTCAGCCGCAGTAAAGAATCAACGTTGGCGGATTTTGGTTCTTGACATCCTTTACGATCGGTTACGATGCCTAGAGTACGGAGACCTGTACGATTTCGTCATCTTAGTGAGTTTGATAGGGGCCGTATAGTGGGACTTCGGGAAGCTGGACTTTCTTTCCGGGCAATTGCAGTTAGAGTGCAAAGAAATGTAGACACTGTGGTTAGGTGTTGTCAGGCATGGCTTCGAGAAGGCCGTACGCAAAGAGCAAGGGGCACTGGACGCCGCCGTAGAACAACAGACCGTGAAGATCGCTGCCTGAGATTATTGGCCTTAAGGGACCGCTTCTCCACTACCAGGTCCATTGCAAATGAATGGTTTGCAGAACACGGAAGACCTATTGGCATGCGAAGTGTTTACCGACGAATGAGAAGTTTTGGCTTGTTTTCATACCGGCCACACTGGGTCCTCCCTTTAACTCGAGAACACCGACGTAATCGCCTTGAGTGGTGCAGACAACGGTCACTCTGGGATCAGGAATGGAACAGTATTGTCTTTAGTGACGAGTCTCGATTTTGTTTAGGCATGCACGATGGTCGTGCCAGGGTTAGAAGGCGACGTGGTGAAAGGAGGAATCCACAGTTTTTTGTTGAAAGACATGTTCATCACACTGTTGGAGTTATGGTTTGGGGTGCTATAGCTTATGGTTCCAGGTCACCTTTAATCTTCATCAGAGGTAACATGAACGCGCAGTTCTAGAACCCCATCTTTTACCCTATCTTGACACCCTGGCAGATCCAACTTTCCAACAAGATAATGCCCGACCACATGTTGCAAGAGTGACAATAGACTTCTTTCAACATAATGATGTCACATTGTTACCATGGCCACCAAGATCTCCCGACTTATACCCAATTGAGCACGTGTGGGATATGATGGGTAGGAGATTGCTCAATTTGCAACGTCTTCCTCAGACTCTAGAAGCACTTCGAGAGGAGTTGGCGGTTGACTGGAATGAGATACCACAGGAGGACATTGACCACCTGATCAGAAGCATGCCTAGGCGCGTTGGAGAATGCGTAGCACATCAGGGTGCATCCACACATTATTAAAGGTCAAAGGGCTTTAAAGCAGTGCAATCATTTTGAAATTTGTATCATTTACTTATTATTCTTCATTAAGTACTTATACAAAATTTTATTAAAATATAACCATTTAAACTGGGTGTTCGGATTTATATGTCACTTAGTATATATATTTTGCGTTATTTTATATTTTCAGCCATTTAAATTTTATAGAAATTCATTTTGCGATGTCAAGTAAGTAGAAAATACGTCAGCGCGTAGATGTAAGGCTCTGCGAAAATATTTTGTGTGATGGGTCATTCCTAATTTTTCTATGATGTGGCATAATTACACACAACGCGGGGGTGGTTGTGATTTCCTGTACTGCTTCACAAAATTTTTGAAAACGCAAAAGGAGAAAGTCGTAATTTACAACTTTGAACCATCTTTTCAGAAAGGACCATACAAATAAATCTCCTGTACAGCTAATAAATATATACTAAGTGACATATAAATCCGAACACCCAGTTTAAATGGTTTTATTTAATAAAATTTTGTATAAGTACTTAATGAAGCATAATAAGTAAATGATAAAAATTTCAAAATGATTGCACTGCTTTAAAGCCCTTTGACCTTTAATAGCGTGTGGATGCACCCTGATGTGCTACGCATTCTCCAACGCGCCTAGGCATGCTTCTGATCAGGTGGTCAATGTCCTCCTGTGATATCTCATTCCAGGCAACCACCAACTCCTCTCGAAGTGCTTCTAGAGTCTGAGGAGGACGTTGCAAATTGAGCAATCTCCTACCCATCATATCCCACACGTGCTCAATTGGGGATAAGTCGGGAGATCTTGGTGGCCATGGTAACAATGTGACATCATTATGTTGAAATAAGTCTATTGTGACTCTTGCAACATGTGGTCAGGCATTATCTTGTTGGAAAGTTGGATCTGCCAGGGTGTCAAGATAGAGTAAAAGATGGGGTTCTAGAACTTCGTGGATATAACGCTGCGCGTTCATGTTATCTCTGATGAAGGTGACCTGGAACCATAAGCTATAGCACCCCAAACCATAACTCCAACAGTGTGATGAACATGTCTTTCAACAAAAAACTGTGGATTCCTCCTTTCACCACGTCGCCTTCTAACCCTGGCACGACCATCGTGCATGCCTAAACAAAACCGAGACTCGTCACTAAAGACAATACTGTTCCATTCCTGATCCCAGAGTGACCGTTGTCTGCACCACTCAAGGCGATTACGTCGGTGTTCTCGAGTTAAAGGGAGGACCCAGTGTGGCAGGTATGAAAACAAGCCAAAACTTCTCATTCGTCGGTAACACTTCGCATGCCAATAGGTCTTCCGTGTTCTGCAAACCATTCATTTGCAATGGACCTGGTAGTGGAGAAACGGTCCCTTAAGGCCAATAATCTTAGGCGGCGATCTTCACGGTCTGTTGTTCTACGGCGGCGTCCAGTGCCCCTTGCTCTTTGCGTACTGTCTTCTCGAAGCCATGCCTGACAACACCTAACCACAGTGTCTACACTTCTTTGCACTCTAACTGCAATTGCCCGAAAGAAAGTCCAGCTTCCCGAAGTCCCACTATACGGCCCCTATCAAACTCACTAAGTTGAGGAAATCGTACGGGTCTCCGTACTCTAGGCATCGTAACCGATCGTAAAGGATGTCAAGAACCAAAATCCGCCAACGTTGATTCTTTACTGCGGCTGAAATACTTCATTTTTAGAGCGTTAGTGAATTAAAAAAAGCAGTATAAAAACCGGAATGTCCAACTGATAGGGCTGAAAATTTTTTCACTTGTTATTTACAGTAAGATAAATACATTCACCAACTTTTATTAAAATAAAACCATTTAAACTGGGTGTTCGGATTTATATGTCATTTAGTATACTTTACACACCATCTCGGTATTCTGCAACCAACAAAACATGTCAGCGAACTGGCTTGCGGCATGGTCGTTCAGTCATTCCTTCATAGGTGACGCTATGGGCAAACACAGCGGTCATAGCGAGGAAGAGCAGAATGAACTATACTGAGTGACTTACATTTTTAGCTACAGGGTGTTGAATTTTTAAGAAGAACATTTTTTTTTATTTTATATTTGCGAAACCATCGTAGATATATTGCCATTTTGGCATGTTGCAAGATGATATAAATGACATACTTTATTATGATAAGTTGTTTTATTGCGCCACCAGTCGCGTCCCTGCAAACACGTCCTGTAATGTTTTTCACAAAAACATTGATGCTTTGGAACTGGAACAATCCGTAACATTATTAACCGTATAATAACATTGACGAAAGATTAACTTTAATATTACGCACAGCACATGAAAGCTTTGACTGACATGTGAATTTCGGTTATTTTGTTGTATGTTTGCGTATGAAACAATAACTGGGGACCAACCACAGAAAAATCACTAAATATTAAGTAAACATGTTCATATTGTTTGGATACTGATTTTTTACAAAAACATTTTATCGGCGAATACCAGTACTTCCATGATAGCAAATATGCCTAGAAATGTTTATCAAAATTCAATAAATAATTCTGGGTGTTGCATTTATATACTAAGTGACATTATAAATCCGAACACCCAGTTTAAATGGTTTTATTTTAATAAAAGTTGGTGAATGTATTTATCTTACTGTAAATAACAAGTGAAAAAATTTTCAGCCTTTCCAGTTGGACATTCCGGTTTTTATACTGCTTTTTTTTAATTCACTAACGCTCTAAAAATGAATATTTCAGCCGCAGTAAAGAATCAACGTTGGCGGATTTTGGTTCTTGACATCCTTTACGATCGGTTACGATGCCTAGAGTACGGAGACCTGTACGATTTCGTCAACTTTGTGAGTTTGATAGGGGCCGTATAGTGGGACTTCGGGAAGCTGGACTTTCTTTTCGGGTAATTGCAGTTAGAGTGCAAAGAAGTGTAGACACTGTGGTTAGGTGTTGTCAGGCATGGCTTCGAGAAGGCTGTACGCAAAGAGCAAGGGGCACTGGACGCCGCCGTAGAACAACAGACCGTGAAGATCGCCGCCTAAGATTATTGGCCTTAAGGGACCGTTTCTCCACTACCAGGTCCATTGCAAATGAATGGTTTGCAGAACACGGAAGACCTATTGGCATGCGAAGTGTTTACCGACGAATGAGAAGTTTTGGCTTGTTTTCATACCGGCCACACTGGGTCCTCCCTTTAACTCGAGAACACCGACGTAATCGCCTTGAGTGGTGCAGACAACGGTCACTCTGGGATCAGGAATGGAACAGTATTGTCTTTAGTGACGAGTCTCGATTTTGTTTGGGCATGCACGATGGTCGTGCCAGGGTTAGAAGGCGACGTGGTGAAAGGAGGAATCCACAGTTTTTGTTGAAAGACATGTTCATCACACTGTTGAGTTATGGTTTGGGGTGCTATAGCTTATGGTTCCAGGTCACCTTTAATCTTCATCAGAGGTAACATGAACGCGCAGCGTTATATCCACGAAGTTCTAGAACCCCATCTTTTACCCTATCTTGACACCCTGGCAGATCCAACTTTCCAACAAGATAATGCCCGACCACATGTTGCAAGAGTCACAATAGACTTCTTTCAACATAATGATGTCACATTGTTACCATGGCCACCAAGATCTCCCGACTTATCCCCAATTGAGCACGTGTGGGATATGATGGGTAGGAGATTGCTCAATTTGCAACGTCCTCCTCAGACTCTAGAAGCACTTCGAGAGGAGTTGGTGGTTGCCTGGAATGAGATACCACAGGAGGACATTGACCACCTGATCAGAAGCATGCCTAGGCGCGTTGGAGAATGCGTAGCACATCAGGGTGCATCCACACATTATTAAAGGTCAAAGGGCTTTAAAGCAGTGCAATCATTTTGAAATTTTTATCATTTACTTAGTATGCTTCATTAAGTACTTATACAAAATTTATTAAAATAAAACCATTTAAACTGGGTGTTCGGATTTATATGTCACTTAGTATATATATCACGTATATTAATTACAATTTTATGAAGCGTTTATCTTAAAATTGAATTGCTGCTCTCGTCAAAAAAAAGTGTATGTGCAATTCAATGTACCGTGTGTTTCAAACTTGACCCTCACCATTGGAAACGGTAAGAGATACGAAGCCACTTAAATGGAGGTAAAGTTGCGTATTCAGATAACTAACGAAATGTCGCTTGGAAAGTTCCGAAATCCAAAGTACTTCCAAAGACAGACGGATAAAACCGAATTTTCTCAAAATGGTTTTTTCCATATCTTGAAACGTATTTCTCGATCGGCAAAATAGCAACGTACTTCAATAAACAACTAAAATCTATATACGCATACCCATGACATTCAAGTTGTTTGTGGACCCCAATTTTTCTCATGACCACAGCAAAAAGAGGTGAGTGCGCTTCGTCTGTGATAAACTTCTTTTCGGATTGAGATAAACTCCTGAACAGCCCTTGCTTGTCCACGTGCTCGGGATCGGTGATAAGAGGTAGGAAAGCGTAGGAGAGACTATCATTATTCGCTTCGCTCTCACTGTTGTGGATTACGAACTTTACAGCACTCCATACGGCTATCGTTGGAAAGGAGTTCAACTGTTCTAAGTCACCTGGAAATTATTTTTGATCACTACATAATAATAATAATGGTTTTTATTCAATCTTTGCTTTGCGGATATGGAACTTCAACAGGATACAACAACAATATACATGACTACATTAGAATAAAATAGGTGATAACAAGTTATATAGATGATAAAAACCTTCAACTGGGATGAACTAAAATCTGGTATGTGGATTTACCTAAGTATTGTCCACATTCCAAAGTTTTTACTTAAAGTTAACGTGCACCAGTAGCAGAGATGGAAAAAGAGACTTTTAAGTTGACTTTTACAAAAAGAAATGATAGTGGTAACGATAACAACCATATAACACATAACTTTG